GGGGCATGTGGTATGGGGTTCGGCGTTTGGATGGGGAACCAAGTAGAAACGATCGTGCAGCGAACGATCCTTAATGCTGCCATTGGAAGTCGTTAAGATTGGGCAAACACCAGAACTTCAAGAAAGGGAAGAAAAGGTTCGAGGAGAAGAACTGAAAATGGATATTTCACACATTCCCAGTAGCCCAGCAAATAATGAACCGGAAAATCGGAAAAGGCAGGCGTCATTCGAAAGAAAATCATATCGAGGAGCATAACCTGTAGATTGGTCCTAATTAGAATAAAGATTAACTTCATAAAGGGATCTTATTATTTCCTAAAAAAGCCAACAGCTTAGGAAGTTCCTAACCCCTTTACAAGAATAGTATTTTATCTTTTCATGTGGAGCTTTATAAGATCGTATAAATGTACACTCTCTATAAGAAAATACTATTAAATCATTTCATTTGACGAACCATTAACCATTTGATATGAATTAATCTAAAATGTACAAGAGACGTGATTTAGTCAAGATCGCTTGGCATATCGGTGCTAAAATAAGAGTGGAACCTGCACTTTGCTATAACTATTCATACGTACTATATCATTTGGGCCTTCAACTGATATAATTTACAATGTTTTCCTGGATCTAGTTTTTTGTTCGCCGCCCGAAACGTGATCGACCCACGTGGATCGGTGGGGGGCACAAGCAAATAGGGCTTATTCGAGGGGTGACGTACCCCATAGCCCCATAAAGATACCAGAGTGGTCAGTGGCGAAGAGATTGCAGCAGGGGCCCCCAACCGATAACCCGGGGGCACTACGTGTTCAGATAGATAGTGCCGATATGAGTGTGCGGGCGCATATAGCACATATGTATATATTTATATATATATTTAGGAGGAGTATATTCACGATTCTGATTGTGCATGACACTATATAGTGCACTTTGTAATTGCTCGAACCCCATTCCGTCGAAAATTGTTTACAGAATCGACTTTTATTGGCCGACAAATAGAACTTGGCACTTGAATCGCCTTTGTTTGATCTTATCGCCTGATAAGGCTCATTTATATACCTATATTTCTGTTCTCTTGGGGTTTAGTCATAGGCTAAATGAGCATGCCTGCCTTCATATTTGAGGAATTTCCTGTTTTCCCTGTTTTATAATTTTGGTATGGATGGTTGTAATTCAGCAAACGAAACTTACGTAAGTGGGTGTTCTTAATTAGAAATCATAAGATCGTTTTACCACCAAATTGTCATAACTAAAGAATCAATATCTTATAGATTGATAGGTTCTGGTTCCTTGGGAAGATTTCGTTTAGTATCATGGAATACTGAGCGTATCCTTATGGGGTCAAGCTTTGGTTCTCTAAATATATCCTGGAAATTAATCACAAGATCATCTTGATGAAGGACCAAATGGTTCTCGTGTATTGATGGGTTAACTATGGGAAGGTATTCTTTTTCGGTACATTGAGTGTATCCTGGCATTTGTGTTTCTTCTTCTTGGGGCTCCATCTTGCGATTCTTCAGTCTTCCACCTCTCTTTCTTCTCTCCTGGTGTCGCTTTTGGTCTGTTTGTTTGTGTGGGCTTATTCAAACGCAGACAGCGCGGCGGCAGCGTCGTTGGAAAAAAGCAACTTGAGGTTCTCCTCCTCTTCCTCCTCCTGCCTTCTCCTTGTCTTCCCCCTTCTCTTCCAGATTGGAGATCATAAGTGCCCCAGCACGTCGTTCTCCTCCTTTTTCATCGGCTGCCGCGCCCTTTCCCTTTCCCAATTTTTTATACTTCTTTTTTTTCCTCAACTTTTTAATCAATTCATGGGTATGGGTGTATGTGTGTATAGGTTTCTTCGATTTTTACGTTACCTTTTTATATTCAATTTTTATCTCTTTGCCTTCGTCTTTTCCGCTTCTTTTTTTGTTTTGTTTTTGATAAATCGATTTAGAAGCCGACGGGGTCTAAATAAAAAAAGTGGAATTCTTTTGATTTTTATGTGTCAGTGTGTGTGTTGCTTTTGAACTTTTTTGTCGGTTGAATATTTGGTTCGAGTCTGTGTGCGTTTTTTCGGCATATTTTTGGGTTGTTTGTGGCCGCTTTACTTGGAAATGCAATTCAAAAATGTATTTCTCTCGCCTTTTTTAAAGGGTTTTTTATTTTAGTTCGCCGTCTTTCCCACATTTTTGTCATTGGAAAATTTATTTAACTTATATTTTAGTTTTCGAAATTTTTAAGTTTTGTTTACAAGTTTTTACCCCTATTTATTTGGCATTTTAATACCTATTTTTTATAAAAAAGTTTTTTTTTAAATTTTTTTAACACAATTTTGTGCGTGCACTTTTTTTTATCGAATTTAATAGGTTTTAAACTTTTTGGTGCCTAGTTGTAAAGTCTAAAATTAATGATAACTTTTTTGTCAGTGCATAAATTTTTTTTTGTGGTATTTTTCCCAGTTCTTTCTGTATTTTTTTCGTGTGCAGGCGCTTCGCAGGCTCCATCTTGTCTTGCCATCCCTTTCCCGCTTCCTTGATCTTTCCAGACAGTCCGTCGTCGCTTTTTTATTCGTGGGTGCAGTGGTGGAGGGGAGTGGGGATATTGGTTTGGGTACAGTGGGGCGGGGCAGCAGCGACGTGGGAATCTGGACCCCAGAGATCTATCATGGTTTTTTGTTTTTTTATTTTTGGAGAGCTAGATGACTCAAAGGTCCGTCTCTACCCGTCTCTTTCGCACTTATCTTACCATATCGCACGCGCAAATTGATGCTCAACAACAACACCATATATTCGATTTGTTTTATGTTTTTTATTTATTTTTTATTTTCATAAATTTGCATACACACGCAAGCTAAGCAGCCCACTGTCGGCGACAAAATCACACACACAACTACACGCGCATGCAAATAGCGAAAGAGAGCGAGGTGTCTGCGTGTGTGTGTGTGTTTCATTCATGAATTCCAGATTTTGCCGAAGCAGGAGAACAAAATGAAGAAGAAGAAGAAGCTGATGAAGAAGAGGCAGCATTTTCGTTTGTCATTTGCAACAAGTGCGGAGAGGCTCTCTTGTTTTTTTAGTTGCACTTATTGCATGCCCTTTTTGCTATTTTTTTTGTATTTATATATTTTTTAAGCTTAGACAGAACGGCGGCAACGTCGACAGAAATAAGCTATAGCCATCTATATATATTTATATAAATGTATAGTATATATGCACCCACGGCCATAACAACGAATAAAAAACAAAACCAAGATAGTTGGAAACCTCTCTTTGTATGTGTGTTTGTGTAAAAATATAAAAAATGCAGCAATGCATTCAACAGTTGATTCAAGAGAGAGCGAGAGAGCGGCGGCTAGTGAGAGAGCGGCGCTCAACAAGTTCGTTCGGCGATCTGTTGCGTCGCGTGAGTTCGTCGTGTGTGTGTGTGTGAGCTGGCCAAGGGGGCGGGGGCACAGGGGTGTGGGTCAAAAGGGGTGGGGGCCGGTGGCGGGGCAGGGGGGCGTGTGGAGTGGCAGTGCCAGAATGTCTGGCAGCCACGACTCTGGCGCACACTCACACCACTCAAAGGGTGCCTTCGTGTCCGTGTATCTGTGTGAGCAACTGGCAGAGCCAGCGAATTTGTAGCGCAGCCAGAAACAACACTGGCAACAACAACACAACACGGCAACAGCAACCGCAGCCGCTAACGAAAGTCGCAGCACCGTGGGGCAAAAAGCTGTCGGCAATGGGGCTATGGCTTAAATGAATATTTTGTATTTTATTATTTTTTTTTCGACAAAATATTCTTATTTTAATAATTAAAGCCAGCTGAAATGTAATATTTAAAATTAAAGATTTTTCCGAGTAAAGTGTTGGAAATTAACCTCAATTTATTATTTTATTTCAAAAGGTTTGGTAATATCTAATAGTCAAAAAGTTGTTTAATTTTAATTGAGTGCTCACTCCATATCATTCTTCTGGATAAAATGATTCTTTGGCTTTCGTTTTTTTACAGGCATTACATAGCCAACTTCGTTAAAGATCGTTATCAGATCTAATTTTGATTAGCATACTTTTTTGCACAAGACTTGCATAGGATTTCACCTGAAAAGTTAAAGGAAGGGGCCACAGAGAATTTAACCCTGCAAACGCCCTTGATGAAAAGTCAGGAATTAAAAAAAAAGTACAATATTGCCACCAAAGCTGGGTTTTATCCTGCATAAACATATATTTTTTATTTTATTATTATTTTTTTTTTATAATATTAAGAATTCATATATTGTGATAAATTATGTTCTACATAACTGACTTTACCCCCTTTCCTTTCCTGAACAACACTTAAGATTCAAATTCATTCTATTTATACAACAAACAAAATCGTATCACTCCGCATAACTAATTTGTTTTATATGTTTTTGTCCCACTGTGCCGTTTGCGGTGTTTGTCAGTTAGTCAGTCGTCGGGTGACTGTGGCAGTGGCTCCGCACTCGAAACGTGGGAAGGGGCCGTTGTTCGAAGGGAAGGGGGAATGGGTTGGTTGTTCCGTCCCCTGGTGTCCATTCGGTCCCACCGTGCACACAGCGGAGCAACAGCAGCAACAAAAACAAGGCAAAGAACGGGTATGTGGCCATCCTGCTCGCACTTGCACTGCCAATCGCATACGCCACGCACACATGCAAGCGCAGACACCTCGCGACACGATTGTCGTCAGTTTGTCTGCAATGCTCAATGCCTCAGCGCCATGCGTTGTGTTGTTCCTGTTGTTGTTGCGCCGCTCGGCAGCGCGCGCTCTCTCTCTCCCTCTCTCGCTTACGCTCTTCTTCGTTCGTTTTATTCTCTCGCCCCTTGCACGCACACGAACCGAACACCCACACGAAGGCAGAACGGCGAGAAAAGCAGAAACAACAACAGTAGCAGCAGCAGACAGGCAGGCATTTTACGTTTGTGTGCGCGCTGTTTTGTGAGTGAACTCGCGCGCGCAGTCGACGGCGGCGCCGGCAGCGACGCCGGCAGAGAGCGGGGCAGTGGCAGTCTAGAACGTATCTTCGAACTAGAACGCCGAGGGCAGAACAATTGTGTTTTGGATTCCTTGCCGTGCGGATCGCAAGCGCGAGAGTTATGAGAAGAGCGTAGCAAAACGTACGAAGTAGTAGCCAACGAATAAAAAAAAAAATACAAAAAGCAAGAAGAGTAAAAAAGGCCAGCCAAACAACAACCACAAACGTTATTTTTTTAACTGTGTTTCTTACGCCCGATTTATATACACTCTACCCATATATATATTCCAAACGGATTTTAAAAGTGCTTTTCGATTCTATAATATAAACTCCAAAAGTATCTGTGTGTGCGCGCGTGTGCCAGAGTGTGTGTGACTCGCAGTCGACGTCGCTGCTTTGGGGACAGAGCTGCCAGATCGCGAGTTATGAAAGCGCAAGCGTCGCACGCAAGTAGCAACAACAGCTACAACAAAAGCACCTAAAACTATTGCCCCGAAAAACACACTCACTTTTTTTGCTGCCCTCAAAAAAGAGGCATATATACTTTACCAGAAGATATCCTAAAGATCCCGACAAAAAGAACCCCATTAAGCCCACAAATCACCATGGATAGCAGCAGCGAACAGTTGAACGGCTCGGGAGCTTTGAATTTCAAGCGGCCCAAGGATTCTTCGGAGAATTCTACAAACAGCAGCAATGGCACCTCTTCGGGCAGCCCCAAAATGGGCAGTCGCCGCATCTTCACGCCCCATTTCAAGTTGCAAGTTCTGGAATCGTATAGGAACGATAATGATTGCAAGGGCAATCAAAGGGCCACGGCTAGGAAATATAATATTCACCGCCGGCAAATACAGAAATGGTTGCAATGCGAGTCAAATTTGCGATCCTCGGTGGCCAACAATCAGCAGCAGCAACAGCAGCAACAACAGCAGCAACAGCAGCAGCAACAGCAACAACAGCAGCAGCAACAATTACTCCCGCAGCAATCGGTATCGCCCACACCGGCGGTCAAGGTGTTCCACCAGCTGAGCCATCCGTTGGTGCATCAATTGCATCATCATCATGCCGCTGCAGCCGCTGCGGCGGTGGGGCATCATCATCATCATCATGGGGCCCACCATCATGCCGCCCATCATCATCATGCAGCGGCAGCAGCGGCGGCAGCAGCAGCGGCAGCGGCAGCAGCAGCGGCCCACCATCATGCCGCCCATCATCTGTTGGCGGCCAATGGCATGGTGCCACACCCCCTGGCCGCCCATCCGCACTTGCATGTCCCGGTGGCAATGCATCCCCAACTGCAGCAGCACCAAAAGGAGCAACAGCAGCAGCAGCAGCAGCAACAGCAGCAGCACTTGCAACAGCAGGAGCAGCAGCAGCAGCAACAGGAGCAGCTGCAGCAGCAGCAACCAGAGCCAACAGCAACTATTGCCTCAAATGGCAGCAATCAGGGATCCTCGAGTGTTCTCTCGGCGGCCAAAATAGCCGCTGTGGTTGCCGCCGCCATGGCCACCAGCAATGGCAATCCCACACCAACAGCAATCCCCGCCAGCAGCAGCAGCAGCAGCAACAACAACAGTTGCAGCAACAACAGCAGCAGCAGCAACAGCAACAGCAACTGCAACAGCAACCAAGTGCCAATTCAAGTGCCAATCCTGAGCGGATCCCCCGTATCTTCCTCATCCGCCTCAGCCAGCCACATTCCACACATGCCCTATGCCTACCATCACCACCATCATCCGCACCATCATAACCATGGCTATCTGGAGAGTCGTCTGGAGGCGGTGGCCACCCCAGCACCCATGGACCTCTCCCTCGGCTCCTCCGCCCGCCGTCAAATGCAGCTGAGCGAGAAGGATCCCTCTGGTGTGGATCTCACCTTCCGCAAGCGCAAGGTCATCAGCAATCCCATGCAGCCGGATAAGATGAGCAAGCTGGAGGAGGTGATCAAGAAGGAGCCGGAAACGGAGGCGGAGGCGGAGAACGAGGATGTGGAGGTGGATGTGGAGACGGAGCAGCCCGAAGAGCACAAGCTGCCCTCCAAGCAGGTCAAGCTCTTCAAGCCCTATTTGCTGGATGAAGATGATGAGGAGGAGCGGGAGCAAGAGGATCTTGATGAGGGTGCTGGCGAGGAGGAGGAAGAGCAGGATGACGAGGATGAGTACCGCGATGCGGATGATGATGAGGTGGTGGCGAAAGAGGCGGCCGACAAGAAGCAGCGCCGCCACAAGAAGAAGCCAGCGGTGATCATCAGTGAGCAGCGGGAGCCCATCATCTGGAGCAATCATCCGTATCCTGGTGGCTGTCTATCGCCCGGCAGCTCCACTGCCAGCTTTCAGTGCCCCACAAGTGTGGTGCAACAGCAGCAGCAGCAACAGCAGACATTTCCCGTCGGCGGGAGTCCTAATCAGCAATTTCAGGATAGCAAAGCCGCCACGCCCCTCAGCCCCTTCTCGGCGCCCGCCCTCTCGCCCACCGGCTTCTGCTGCCCCAAGGGATCGCCCGTTTCCGGCTACGAGAGCAGCTCCTCCACCTACAGCGACAGCGGCAGCAACTACAGCCTCAATCTCCAGCTGCATGCCGTCTACAACGACAATCTGATGTACTTGCAACAGCAGCAGCAGCAACAGCAGCAACATCACCTGCAACATCAGCAACACCTGCAACGCTGGCTGGATCAGGAGTCCCTGACGAGGACCTCCTCGTCCGTCAGCCGACCCCTCATCCTGGTGGCGGACCCATCGCCCACAAACCTGACCCTGGTGGCCTAAGAACACACACACACACACACACAATACACAATAAACAATAGCAACTAAGGAAGCAGCAATCCCACCAATCGGATGTTATAATGGCAGTCACTGGGCCTGGCCTTTTAGTTCCCTAAGCCATATTTAAGCTTATGAATGGTTTTTTTTTCTAGCTAGCCTTACCACCTAAAAAAACACCTTACCTTAAACACACAAAAACAAATTGTATATCTAAGCGCAAACATATATCTTCCAAGCATATCAGCAAACAAAAAAATGCCCCAACCCTAGGTTTAATCTTCTTTTTTTTTTTTGGTTACCTACTAAGAACAAATTAAGCTTAAGTTTAGATTTTTTTATTTTTTTTTTATTTAGCTTGTGTAAATAATTGTGTACAAAAACTAAGAAAACAAAAGCGAATCATTTGAATTTGCTTAAGAATTTCAACGCTAAATTTATGGGGGGCGTATATAGGAGAGAAAAAAATATGTGAAAAATGCAACTGGAAAAACTGAGAAAATTGTTAAGAGTAAAGCTTTAAATATGAAACAAAACACACCTTTACAATACACACACTTTTTATTTGGAAATTGAAAATTGAAAATTCTTGTGATATGAACAAACAACAAAACAAAATTTTAATAAAATTGTTGAAAACTGAAGCTTAATGAATATATATATAGCTATATATACATATATATATTTACAAACGCAAGAGAGAGCAAGAAATTAAATGTAAATTTAAGGGTTACATCTAAAAGTTAATTATAATTATATACAATATACATATATACAATATATTTATATACAAACAAGAGGATAACGTTTTTTTTTCATTGCCAAGGGAAATCTTTAATGAGCCTATTTAAAAAGCGCATATACATTGAGAGATATATACCTAAATATATATACATATATATAAAAATCAGTATTTTTATATATAACATTTGACAACAACAACAATAATTGTGTGACCATAAACAACAACAGCAACAACAAATCAACAACAAAACGAATTGATTAAATTAACAACAGAAAACTAAAAAACTTTAAATTGAACTGGTTTTATCATTGAACTTGGGTGGCATTTTTAATCAAAGCTATGCTTTCAAGATGGCTGGAAATGTTTCGGGATGAGCATTCTTTCTTCTGGGTCTACAGTTTTACTTGAAGATTGGATATGGTTAAAAAAACTGATTCTTGACAAGATCACTTGGAACTTTTTAGGATCTGTTAATATTTCAAGTAAATATAACAAATTGGAAATCAAAGAACCAAGAGAGGACTAGGATTACAAGAAGATCTAAAATTGTTGAGTACACTCATTCTAATGAAATTTACTTTAAAGGATTCGGAAATGATATTTTAGTACATAGCCTTTCAGCTAAGCTCTTACTCATATATTTTCCAAATACCCCTAATCAATTAGCATAATCTAGATTCTAGAAACATCTCCCTGCTTTCAGCTCGGTAATTCTTGGCTGACTGTGTGAGGTTAAGGCCCCATTTATAGAACCGATCGCCGTTTGATCTCGGCGATCATACGAATGTGCCATTCAAATGTGTGTGTTATTTGCGTGCCTCATTGTGACAACTCATGGGTTGTCAGTCCGTCAGTCATTCAGTTAGTCAGGGCATAGCTTAAGGCTTTGGGGCTTTCCATTTCGACTGCCTGTGCCACGCCCCCACCCCAGCCCCATCCACGGACCACCCACCGCCCCTTTTCCTCAAGCCACACGGTTTCTGGTCAAATTCGCTTGGCACATTTCGACGGCGGGGTATGACTAAGCCGCAAATTCTATAATGATCGTATTTTTAAAACGTTTAAAAATAAAGTGCTCTCGTTTGCCAATGTGTGCGCCAATCACGAGCCCCGAGCCGCAGCATTCAGCACCACTGCGATCCACATCCATAGCCACATCCACATCGGCATCAGCATCAGCATCAGCACCACCGCAACCGCCACCGCCGCCAGCTATCGCATCGTATCGTATCGGATCGTATCGGATCGGATTGGGGATCGGTTCTCGAGACAGAGCGGCATACTCATTGTTTTTCACTTGACGCGCTTTCCCTTCTGCGGAGCAAAAAAGCAAATCCCGCCGATCGCTGCCAAAGAATTTTTGCGACATTTTGCGGACAAAACGGACGGACAAAGTGATCGCAGACCCCATGGGATACCCTAGTCATACACAGAACGAAAACAAATCATCCTCAAGCATTATTTAAATACTCAGAGGCTTCACTGCACACCCTTCAAGTTTCATATATGAAATCATATTTTTGATAAGGAGTTCCATATTTAAGAACCTTGCCCTGAATGCATAATATGTCGATGATATGATATACAAGTAATGACCTAAAAAATTCCTTAAAAGACTTTTAATCATACCAATCCAACTACAGTGAAAAAATTGCTTTCTGATTTTCATTTTAGATTTATTACCCAAATTTCGTTCTGTGTAGAAAAGGGTAGGGATGGATGGTGCTGCAAGATCGGAACTGTTGGCATCTATGCGATTTGATCGTTCAGGTGATCGTTCCCACGTAGTCAAGTTAAAATAGGGAAGAGGTAAGACAGAAGGGCAAGGAACAGGGGGAATTAGAACAGGGGGAATGGACTCCGTAGGACTATAAAGATCAACTACTCCAAAACAAAAAGAAAACATCGAAATAAAACATCAAAATCGAATTTTTAAAAAATGAGAAGTACCTCAGTTAACATGGGATACGAATTAAATAATAGGAAGCTTTAGATTTAATAATGAGAATGGAACAGGGAATAGAATTAATGGAAATGGAACTGAAATAGGTGTTTCATGGAATTGGAGAGATAAAAGCCAGCGGGATAGCGGAATAGGAACAGGACAGGAAAATTATAACTATTGTATGGAATATGGAACTTTGGAGATATTAAAAGGGAATAGAAGAGATATAGATGGAGAAGATCGCTAGGATGGGAACAGATGAAAAGAAACTGTGGAAAAGGAACAAAGGATAAAGCTCAGTTTCTTCCTTCTCGAAGAGGAACAGTGGGAAAGGGAGCGAAATGGCTAAATATCGGGGGCCTGGCGACAGAGGTGGGTGGAGGTACCTAGTACCGGGAATCTGTGCGAGGAGCAACCCCACCGCAGATGATTGCTAAATTTCGATTTATTTTCGTGTTGTTTTCTTCGAACCGCGTTGCCGTGTAAACTTTTGCTCGCCTTTTTTCCTACCTTCCCAAAAAATGTGTGGTTTTTGTTGCTGCCGTTGATGCCACGTGACAAATTTCGATCGCTCGGACGTAACAGAAGAAAATATATATTTGTGATTTGCAGCCAACCAAATTTTACAAAGTAAATAAAGGGAAGAAGACAGGCAGCACGGCAATAGAATTCACCTGAGTCCCGAGACTCGAATCTCGAGTGCTTTGCAGATGGCGAACGTCTCTGGCAGATATATATCTATATCTATATATACGTTCTTATATAGTTTGTTATTGATCAAGCGAGTTTTGCGCACAGTGTGATGTTGTAATCAAAGGAACGGATCTCGCGCGATCCGATCGACAATCGTGACATAATCTGTTATATGAATTCTTTTAGTTCTGAACTGTACCGATCGGTTGGGCATATCTCTTGGGTTGCCGGGTATCACACGACATGATGTAAACTTTATTAAATAAGATCAAAGCAATTGCAACATGATTAAGGGAAGTTATCAATGAGTAAATATAAGAATAAATATAATTTACAACCATTAGAAAGGAAATTCATCCAAAGAAAGATTAATCTGGTGATAAAGTAAGTCTTGAAAGATCATATAATAGGTTGTAATGGATCAACATGATTTTAATATGACACCACCAGATCTTATAAAATACCTATTATAAAAGGAATCATATTATAACAGAAGTTAAGATCCCTGATCAATCAGAACAATTGACAGAGCAACTGGCCAAGGGATCCATCAATGTTACGGGACCAGTTCGGTGGATCCATCAGGTTCCCGATAATGTTAGCCCCTTACTGTCTTAACACAAAATGGAAAAACCCCTCTTTACCCACACATACGATTTGAGGCTAATAATTCATACGAAAATTGATTTTAATTTGGCTTGGCTTTTATCAGATTTGCAGTTTATTTTTGGACTCGCTGGGGCAAACATGCCCAGACAAACGCTACAAATAACAATCAAATAAATCATTCTCGAGTGTGCAAAAGCGTTAACTAATTATAGATCAGGACAATGTTGTTCTTACACCATGACTATATGTTCCGCTGACAGTGTCAAATCGGTGCTCTTCAAATAAAGTAAATTCGCTGAAGATCTCCGATTTCGGGGTTGGCCAAAAACATATTGTGTAAGGTCCGCCTGGTGGCAAGGGCAAACAAACAGATATAGCACTGCCAGTCCAGACCCAATTTTCAATTCCAGGCGCTATCTCGACAGGCGGATAAATCGCGACCGAAATTGATAACCTTTTTGGGGTTTTTTTTTGGGGCTTGACCAGTTTCCGGTGGCTTATGGAGGTTGATCGATGAACACGATGGCTGAACGATCAGTAGAACGATCTACCGATCTATCCTGGAATACATACAGTCGAGCTTCTAGAACTTTTCAGTTAAGATCTAGATCTATAAAACAAGATGTTTTACAATGGTGCTAAAAAACAATATGAAAATATTTTAAAAAAATTTTTAAAAGAAAGTTAAAGTTTACTAATTATTTCGACCCCCAAAATAAACACATATTACCATTTTTCATAACTTTCGTATATATATTTTTGATTAGGTCAATACAAAATGGCTTTTATAAATCAATAATGTGGCGTGATGTTATTTTTAGTGTATTAAATAATAATAGGACTTAAATATACCCAGAAACATACAAAATAATTAATTTCAATTAAATTTCCCGCAACTTAAACTAGCAGATAGTGCTTCAAAACAAAAAAAGTTCGACTGCATAAAGTTATAGTATATGTTTTAGTTAGTGGGTAGTTCCAGTAATCGTTTGGTTTGCGCTGCTCGCTTCTTTTAAATGCTGGCATATATCATAAATATTACATACAGTTTAGCTTAACTAGAGACGTATATTTCTATATATACATGTAGGCGTATATATATATATATGTTTGACTGTAAATCGATCGCTGAGGATCGCCCTGGGATTTGCTGGAATCGAAAAATAGAACAGCACACACACACATATATTCACAAACACACATGGAAACAAATACAAACAGACACACACACGCGGACTGGGCAAAACATCGAAAATATAGGTATGGATATATACATATAGACAGGGGGCTAGACATCCTTGTAGTCCACCGATAAATGCAGAAAGTTGTCGGGATAGCTCAGGTGCTCGGACATCCATTGCAGTTGGGTCTCCTCGTGAAGATCGATGCCGTGGGTGCGACATCCAACTGGAAATAAGAATATTGGGGTAATACTTTATCAATTTCATTTCAGGAACCCAACAAATTGGCACTCTAAAAAAATCCCCACAAAGTTAAGGCCTAAACTCAAAGCCCGAAGTAATCGTCTACTTTATAAGTATGGTTTTGTTTATTTTTTCCAAGAATCATAATCTTAGACTTTAACGGGGCTTACTTTGGTATATAACTTAGTATACTTATTTTTATATAAATATTTTTTTATTTTTTTAAGAATCACTATGATTCTTAGACTTTAAGGGGGCTTACTTCGATATATCATTAGTATTATTGTTTGCTACCATAGTTAAAGGCAACTTGTTATGCTAACATATAATTAATCCAATTATCGATCATTCCAAAGGCTACATAAAGTAATAACAAACATAATCGGTCTTCATAAAACTTAATGTGATCATTTAAAGTTAAAAGGAATCGTGCCGCTGCATACACTCCAGTTAAATTTAGCATATAACGTTTTTTACAATGACTATTCACTTTCGGTATCAGTAAACTATTCTTATTATATAAGACCCAAAACTGTTACCAAGTAACTAAAAAACCGGAAGTGCTACAAAGATTATTTCACCTGGTAATCTCAAGAATGTTGGTATACCTAAAGACTTAGTTAAGTATCGATCATGATCACTTAGTTTTCTTATTGAAAATAAAATGCCCATTAAGAGATCACTTAACCATTATGTAAATGATCAGCAATCAATATTTCATTAATGAGAGACAGCAGTCATGTGAAGCCTACATATAGGAGTACCTATATTATAATGAATGAGATCAGCTAGCGATTACTGCAGCCTGATAAGCCGCCGCTATATCTCCATGGCTTCTATATGCCCTACACAGCGGATCTGATCATGATCAATTTGCGAGCCATAAAGATTATGGGTACTCAAAAAGAGGAGGCGGGCTCTACAGAATTTGGACTCGCTTGGAAATCAGAGTTTAGCGCCTTATCTACAAGCGTGTGTGCTTTCCATTCTTATTTTTCCTTTTTTTTTCGGGGAACCGATCGTGACAAATTTCGTCATTTTTAATTTTAGCATATAAATTGTAATTATAGATTGCCGATCGCCAATTCCCGATGCCGTGCGATTGCCAATCGTCCAGGGCGTTATGGCAAGCTTCCCGATCGAGGCTTTATAACGCCAGTCAGACCCGTATATATACACATATTATATACCCATCTGTGTATGCTTGGTTGATATGGAATGTATGTGGATGGGCTGATAATGGCTGATTACAGGCGGTGGGAGGCGGTGGCGATAAGATTTGTGCAACGGGGCACGAGTTCAAGTAGGGCGCACAGCTCCATAGCTCTATGGCTCTATATAGACCCCGCGATATACAACTTACTACACACCGTTCCATTCCATTTCGATCCGATGCGGTTGGGCAAGTCACGAGTTTAATGACCAAGCTAATGGCGCTACCCCAAAAATAATAAATGAACGGAATCCAATTGCCTCGAGTGGAAATATGGGAAGCGAATCGATTGGCGATACAGGGGGCATTCTTCAGGTGGTTTCGGGAGGAATACGTACTACGCTTTATTGCAAGAATTCTTTATGAATATTATTATTCCAAAATGCTGGAATGTAAAACCAATCGAATATATAACTGGGCTCTATTTTGGTTTCAAAGTAAAAATAATTACAAACTGAAAAAGTAACAAACTTGTACATATGCTTATGGCCAGGTATTACTTAAAAGTAATAAACCAAGGTCATAAATAACGAACGCTTTGGGTGGAAGTAAGGAAAGTAAGTCTATTGTTTCAAAGTTCGCCTAGTGACCAAGGGGTAAAACGTAAATTACACAATCATTTAAATTCACAATCATTTCAGAATAAAAATGTTTATGGCCGTTGGCATAACTAGGTAATATAATAGCACAAAAGCGATTAGTGTAGTTATTAGGCTTTAAAGGTTGTGTAAGAAATTCAATAAATAGAACTATTAGAAGGTCCGGGGAATTTGAAAGTAAGGCTTGTTAGATACAAGATACAAAATCAGAGATCTAAGTATATTACAAATTTTATTTTTGGATTAAATATCTCTACCATTAAGATCCAGCTAACCATATCTACCCTCAGATCTAGTTTTATAGTTCCGAAAACTGGAACTGTAAAGCAATTAAACGTAATATCTCCCAAGGTGCCGCTCAATCGGCTGCATATATTCAGCGATTTGTGGGGTAACCATTAAACCAGAGACACCTCCAAAGCGCCAAATAGATCATAAATCTTGCATAGGAAACCGACCCGAACGATATAAACTATTAAATGGGGGACAAACCCGCAGACAGGCATTATAAGTATATACACCTCTGATCTCGATGATAATATGGGAGTGTGCGAGTGTGTGTGTGGGGCCCCCCACAGAAAGAGAAAGAGAGAGGGAGACGGCGGCGAGAAAGAGAGGGAGCGAGAGCGAGAGTGGCGCCAAACAGTCTGAAAATTTATTGATCCCATTTTTATTATCGTCAACGTGGAAAGAATTCGAGGGGAGCGGCGAAGGTGGAGAACGTACGACATCGCATAGCTCATGTCTAAAAATAACCACGCTTCATCGATCTGATAAGGCGTCCCAATCATTATAATCACTTAATAGATTGTGTTCCATAAAGCCATTAAAAAGTAAAGTATGTATGTAGAAAATAAACCCTATCTCTGTTCCACAATTCCAAACGTTCCATAACGACCATTATTATAGCACTTGGAAAAGTCAATTTTGCAGTTCAGTGACGCCATTAAAGAGTGCGAAATCAAAAAGTGCTAATCAATTGTTTTGGCTTTTGTTTGTCTGTCTTTCTTCATTATAATTTTCTTTTCTTTTTTTTTGGGCCCCATAATTTCAATTTTAATTTGGGTTTATTTTCATCCAGCTACAAAGTACTGGAATTACGATCAAAGGGGATGGGAGCAGGGGTTGCGGATGTTTAGCGAAAGAAATGAAATCGGATTTCGTTGACGGTGCAGTTGGATGGTGAATTGAAGATTGCACCCGATAATGGCCGATCAACCAGACAAGAAGAAACAAACAAACAAGAAAGTGGGGTATTAAGTGGGTGCCCAGAAGAGGGGGCGTGGCAGGAAGTGGAAGAATCGAAACGGAGCCTTCTTAAGTGATTTCTAATGGGGGATTGGCAACAATGTATCAAGATTGTAGCGATAATGAATAGTTTAACAATGGTTTGTTTGCCTTATAAACTGGGTTTGTGTTGTAATATATCCCCACAATCACCTGTTACCAAGTATATTACTTTGTAGTTCCCCATACTTAAGAAACGTTAATGTTAATATCTATGTTTACTTAGATTATTATACCATTTTTTCTTAAAAATCAGGGCTACTTTTGGAAAGGAATGTTAGATTTACAAGATTTGGCAAAAAAACTGATTAAATGATAGAAACATTATTTATAATTGTATATTAAGAGTTTATATGTGTAAAATGAACTAAAAACTAAATTTATAGTTCTTAAAAGAGTTTTTTGAAATAATATTTAAATTTGGGTTCGGATTTGGGATCATTTAAACGAAGTATGATTGATGATCGCCAGGTGTTAAAAAAAGGTAAATTAAAATAATGATGCTGCGAAGATCAACACACAAACACTGACACATAGCAGCAGCCCACCCAAAAAGCGGGGCGTGGCACCGCCAATTGTCGCACAAACACAAACACACACCAGACACACACACGCACACACCTGCCCTCACACACACACATACGAACCCATACATGGGCATTGTCCAGGTTGCATTTTGCAGGTTGGCATTTGTATTTGTATTGTTTGTCTGATTGACGAAATGCAAACGAAAATGTGTCGAAATGGGACTAAGCAAATGCGCCGATGAAAGAGCGAGTGAGAGGGAGGGCGAAAAACCCGGGGGGTGGGGGGTGCTTGTCTTTTAACTAAGGAGTAAAAGAGAGAGGCAAAAGTGATAAACATTGAGGTGCGATTTCCGTGCGCCGCCGTTTTCACCGGAGTTTTGTTGGAGTGCAGCGAAAAAAGGCAGAAAAAATAAGAGAAAAAAAAAACAGAAGAAGGAGGGGGAGGAGTAGGAGGTGGAGGGGCAGGGGGTCGAGGTGCTGGCGAAGGTGTAAATACAAATAAGCGGAGGTGATATCTCAGAACTTCCTTTTCACACATTCGAGAGCACCCTACACAAATACAAACACAGCCAGCATGCCTCACACGCACACACACAAGCCCCGCTGAAGAAGCTCAGCCAGTTCCAGCTTTTTTCCAGCTAAATCTAGCTTTTTATGCACCGAAAAAAAAAACAGATCACCAACAGATATTTCTTATATCACTTGGATCCTTGAATAATATTGAAGCATGGTAAGTTCTATAAGATATCGCAATAGCCTATTGTAACTAGAGTTCAAGTCCCACTAATGCCTAATTAATTTTTTTTTCAGCCTAATAATAATTTGGAATTTTATGATATCATTTACCAAAATAGATATTACGGAGAGTAATGAAATTAAAAATCTGTGCTATTTTACATCTGAACTAGTGAACAAGATAAGATATTAGTAAGACATGAGTGAACTAAACAAACAAGTTATCCATTTAAAAAGATTTCATAACATGAAATCTATAATTTGTACTAAACTTATTTGAACTAAATATTTGGCTTAAGAATACAGAGTAGGATGATATATAATAAAATCGGATATAATCGAAAAACTAGTTTTCCATTTAAGATCACATAAAATAAAATCTATAATTTGTACTAAACTTATTTTAACTAAATATTTGGCTTAAGGATACAGAGTAGGATGATATTTAATAAAATTGTATACAATTATTTTCCTAATTAGGATATTATTTAAACTTTTTTTACTTCTTAAAAAACTTTTTTTTGTAAACTTTCAAAAGCCTGGCAACACTGAAAGCCACTTGCATTTATTGTTGCTGCTTTCCGGCGAAGGCAGCGCAGTCGGCGTCGCTGCCGGCGGCAAATCATGAAAGCAGCAACAACAAATGAAGCGAATGCCAATGCACAAGGAGCAGCACAAGTGCGAGCGAGAAAGGTGGCCAGCGAGTGAAAGAGATAGGGATAGACGGAGCAGGAGTCAAAGGCAAAGCCAAAAAAAATGCGTTTCTTTTATTTTTGACGCGTCTTAGATTCTTCCTCTGCCGCTTCTTCTTTCGTCTTTTTTTTTTTGATTTCTTGGAATCGCATCTACTTTGAACCTTCCACGTTCCGACTGAAAACTCAGAGACCCGGCTGCATTGTATATTTGAATTTCATTTCAATTTAAATACGATTTTCTATGAAAATGCACGCACCACAAATACGTGCAATCGTTATCCAAACCATCGCTCCCTCCTCCTCTTTATCGCACTCCTCTTAGCCTCTGCCGTTCTTTCCCCATCCATTGAACCGATCCGATCCGATCCCATCCCATCCCATATAACACCATCCAAGTTTCATGAAAAACCCGGGGAAACAAATTGATCATGTTTTCAATGCATTTCTGTTTGATTTCAATTCCGATTTGTATACTCCAAAAATGCGAAAGATTCTTGGATGGGGAAGGGGGGAAAAAGGGAGGAGGGTGTTAAATGGAGAGTCTGAAGGGATAGGGAAGAGCCGCATGAGATCATATAGAGCTTATCCCCCTATGGTATATGCTATTGCAAAAAATGTACATATCTGGATATCTAGTAAAATTTGATATTCCGTCGAGATAATTATTATTGCTAAAAAAAGAGCTTATTAAATGATCTAGGGAATTATATACAGAAATACGTACTGAGAAAAGGTAAAAATCAGATGTTATATTAATTTATACTGCAAAATTAAGTAAATTGGGTTCAATTTTTATCTCTGTACTTATAAGAGATGAAAATGGGATAATATTCATACTGCAAAATGAAAAAAATTGCTTATAGCTTTCAGATATTACTAAACTTTAAGGAACGTATGTATGTACGTTTAAATGGCAAACACCATAAAAGTCGTGATTAAGAAATGTCTGGGATCTTAAACATGACTCAATTCAAACTTTATTTTAGAGAAAACATATATTTAATTAGTTTTAACTATTGTTAAAGACATAAAAAAATATCATTAATATATAATTTTACAGATTTTTGATCTGGATCAGGAGAACCTTTAATTCCTTTTCGGTATCCCCCAAAGTCACACACATTAATTACCACAACCTGTTTAAATTGCCCACCCAAAATCCCGCTAGAACACGCAACATTCTCTCCTGATCCCTATAGAATCCAAATCCAAAACCTAGGGGAAACCCGAAAATGTCATTGGATTGCCTAGGATGGCCCACTTAAGCCAGGCGTGCGGCTAAAAGGAGCCGAGGAATCCTTGCCGATGCCAAATCCGAATCCTCCGCCAAGGACATCGTTCATACAACACCATCCGAGTGCCGAATGACCTTTGGGAAAATACGTGTTGAACGACATCCATCGGCAATTGTTTAGGATCGTCGGAAATCTCTCACCTTTCGAATGGGAAATTCCTTGGGATCATCGAGTGTGCAGAGAAGGCCGTCTATAAGCATGCAAATAAAGATTTCACACCTTGGCCAGCGCACTAGGGTGCATGCTGCATAGAACATCATGGTGCACAGTGCATAGGGCATAGTGCACAACCAAAGGACTCGAAACGAAATGCAGCGAGATCGGGACACCTGGGAAATACCCAACGTGGCCGAAACATATGGACGCACACAGGAGGGATCTCTCTCTCTGTCTGAATGGAGAGCACTAGCTATGGGCTATGGCCAAGTGGTTCCCGAAAAACCCTCACAATATAATTCGTAAATCCCAGCCGCAGGTATTTAGTTCCGCCTTTTGTCCGTCTTTGGAATTCCCAATGCTATTATTGCACCTAAGCCACTGGAGTGGGAGGTTTGCCGTGTGTGTGCGCGTTGCAAGTTGCTGCCGTCCAGCAAAACACGATGCCACCCGTCTACCCGTCTCGCTCTGGCCCCGTCTTTCCGTCTCTGTCTCGCTCCGATGGCGCTGTCTCGCTCTGGTTCGTGCTGTTCTTGTCGCCGGCGCCGCAGGTCAACAGCAATGCTTGGCATTTTCTAACAGTTGCTGGTGTACTTTTGTTGCAGGTTCTTTGCTGGGGGTTTCCGCTGATGTTGCAGGTTCCACAGCTGATGTTGCAGCTTCTATTGCTTCTTCGTTAGTCGGTAAAGTTGCCGTTGCAAGTTATAAGTTTGTTGTAGGTTTTCCTAAAGCTGTTGCTGACAGTTTTCGTTGATGTTGCAGGTTGCATAGCCAATGTGGCACCTTCTATTGCCTCTCTTTCAGTCGATAATGCTGATGTTACAAGTTTCAAGTCTGTTGAGGTTTTTATTAAATTGTTGCTGTGTTTTTAAGTGGGTGTTGCTGGTTCTACAGGTGATGTTGCACCTTCTACTGTCTAATTAAAAGTCTGTTTTAGGTTTTTATAAAGCTGATGCTATGAGAATTCGTTGATGTTTCTGGTTACTTAGCTAATTTTGCACTTTCTATTACCTTTAAAATTCAATCTATTAATAGACTTGTGGCTATGGCTGCCATGACTAATTATTAACCCTATTGGTGTCGTTGCAGTTGCAAATTGCATGTTCATGAAAGCTATTCCGGTTGCTGCTGAAGTTTCCGTCAATGTTGCAGATCCTACAGCTAATGTTGCACCTCCTATTGCCTTTCTTAATAATATCATTGTTGCTTTTGAAAGTTTGAAATTTTGTATCTATTATTTTGTACCTGTTACTGGAGTTTTCGCAGAGATTATAAACTCAAAGTAGGTTTATGATTTTTATAAACGTACTTGATATAGTTATAAGTTGTATTTCCATTTTTTATGACATTTTTTTTTAAATTTTGTTAAAAACAATAAAAAAAAGTTAATATTTTGGGGACCAATTGGTGCAATATCTAACATCCAAAAAATATTCCTGATCTGTTAAACGATATATAATATGAAAGGTATTAAGTCGCAGATCACGAATATTTCTTAAAATTTTCATTATACAAATTAATTATTACTCTAATTTCCAATTTTATTAATAAAAAGAAATAAATATTGTTATATTTTGTTATTTTAACAAAATTTGAAAAACATATCGCTGTTATAAAAATTTAAAAAATATTATTTGGAGACCACAAACATCTAAAAAATAAATATCTAAAGAATCGAATAGCTGTCATAATTTCCTAAATATACATATGTATTTTGAATTTTTCTTAAATTATTCCCTAAATGGCTGCCATGTTTTAAAACTATTTATTAATGCTGTATTTGCTAAAATCGCTTATGGTTTTTCGGATGTTGTTTTTTCCTCAATTGTTGCCGTTTTTGTTGCATTTGCTGGTTTTCTAGCCGCCTTTGTTGTTGCTGTTGCCCCGAAAATCCACACGCACATTTTCATTGTCGACAAATTTCCAGCCGGCAGACAAAGAATTTTTCATTCGTTTTTGTTCCACACACTCGGTTTGAATGGCCAAGGAAAATGCGACGAGCTAGAGGGAAACAGGGCACATTTTTGGCCAGGTTTTCAATGCGGGGGCAAGCGAGATGGCCAAAAAGACCTGCGATCCGTTCCGATCCGATCCGCTCCGGGTCGCTTTTCCACCCCGGGGGCATTGTATTCAGCCCAGGAGAATCGGAGAATCTCCTTTTCCATCTTCTGTTTCTACTTCTATCTATTTTGTTGCTTTTTTTCGGGTTTTTGTTCAGATGGGACATTGATGAATTGAAGAATGATTGCCGGAGAGTGCCGCTCAGGGCGGATTTTTCGGCTCGGCTCGGCACGGCTCGGCTCGTTTGTGTTATTCAATAGAAAAATAAATAAGTCAGAGGGGTCAGCGGAAAGAGATACAGCGAGATACAGAGAGATAGACATGCACTTGGCCATGCCAGACTGACTGGCACCTTTTCCCTAATTTCCAAGAGACGCTGCGTCTGCGCAGACAATGGGCTCTGCCCGTTTTCATTTCCCTTTCGAGACTCTCAGCTTAGTTTTCCTATTCTTGTTTTTTTTTAGAGTGCCTGCGGTAATTGATAGCCAGCTATAAGGGCTCTAAAATCGAAAATCCCAACTCACCCGCTTTGCGCACAGGTGTCGATAATTCGGCCATCAGGTCGGCCAGACTCTTCTTTTGTCCGCCCTCGCCGATCGGCGAAATCAGTTTCTGGGTGTACGTGAAGTCCTATCAATAATGGAGATATAAAATCCATGAATTTGGGCTCAACTGAACTGAACTGAACTGATCTGATCTGATCTTGATCCTCGTTTTCCACTCACATCGTCCGTGTAGATTCGCAGGGGAATGTTTTTGAAGGACTCCTGTTCGCCATACGGTTCCATCAGCCTCCGATTGACCGCCCAGAACTGATCGAACTTGTCGTTGACCAGGCCCAGCCAGAGTTGATTGTGGTCCTTCTTCTGCATGGCGGATATGACCAGACCGCGGTGCTTCAGCACATCCGCCTCCTTCAGGCAGGACATGTAGTGCGATTCCAGGAGCTCCCTGAAATGTGTAAATAAGTTATAAAATAAAAATTGCCAGTTAAAAAGCACAAAAAAGGCTAAATCTTGAATAATTTATTAAGGAACAATAAAAAACCTTTAATCAATGATATCCTTTATATCTTATCCTCCTCAAAATAAAAAAAAATCAATTATTATTTAGCCCTTGCAAAGGTTACTATACTTTTGCGAAGAAATTTAAAATTTTCAAACCATAAAGTGTATAGACATAACCTTATTTTTATTATAGTGGGCGTTACCTAAAAATGATTTATTTTTATATTGGTAAGTATAATTTTGGTAGTTTTGTAGAAGGGATACACAAAGCTGCACTTTTAAAATTAATAGGCTTACCTATTTAACCTATTTCGTCTTAAATGTGGGATATATAAATGAATAGATACAAAATATATATCTAAAAGGATCAAAAATACGTTACTGAGAGAAGATTGTAATTATTCATATTGGTGATTGGTGGGTTTTTATTAAGGAGATCTAAAACTGCATTAGTAGAGTCCAAAGGATTACCCATTGGATTCCATATTAAATGTGAGATAGCTATGTTTGGGGTAGCTCTACAACAACTGACAAGCAGTTTAATAAAAATATATGCATGTTCTGTGAGATGATCGTTATTAATGAACTGCGATACGATACTTAAAATATAAAATGACTCTTAGACTCTGTTTGGCATAGTTATTATGCCTTGAAGACGGGTTTTGATGACCCCGATTTAGTAATTTAAATATTGTATTAAATTAGCAAGGCCATAAAATCTTCGGCTGGCCGAAGTAGCTCCTAAAACCAAATGTTTCGATAGTTACTTGGAGTTGAGCTTGACAAGCGCTTCCTCGGGGAACTTGGAGAAGTGTATGGTGAGGCTCCAGGGCGTGCCGTCCTCCTCCGGATGCAGCAGATCATACAAGACACCTAATAGGAGATCAGATTGATTAGTGATCAATAGGAGGACCATGATATCATCGCCGTGAATGCAAAACCCACCAATTGGATAGTGAAGGCGCAGGGGTGTTCCATTGAAATCGAACCACACGGCTCCGTCCTGATGCTCGGCGCTTATATACCTCGAGAAGTACTTGCGAACCTGCCCGAAAACCAAATAACACATGGGGATTATAAGTATATCGCATATAGTAAAGTTATTCCAATTGTTTACCTTATCGGTGACCAAAGGCAAGTAGCTCAGTCGCGAAATCATCAGATAGAAGGGCTCCGGCTTTATGCCCACGATCTCGTCCCTGTCCGCCTGGAAGCATATGCCTATCTGGCCCTCCCAGATCATTCGCAACACCTCGCGGTCGTGGGCCATGGCTCCTAATTTGCGCTTTTGTTTTGATTAAATTATATATTTTCTTTTTGCACTTGGAAACTTGGGCTGTTATCGATAACAGGGTGTCCAATTTGTCGGGAAACAGCTGTTGGTCTGTAAATGAGCGGGGTGGTAACGCTGTGGGCGGCAGTGCTGCCGGACTGTCTAATTTATTAGCTATATTATAGGTGTGTGTCCCTGCTATGGCGATGTCTCCGCTAACTTAGCAAGGACACAGATTCATTGTATATTTTTGGTATTCTTTTGGTATATACTGAAATATGCCGCTGGTATTTCAAATACGGTATCACCAAAATGTTGGGGAGTGTCCTGGATAAGGTAGTGGATACACCCTCCCAACATTTTAGCGTGACCGTTTCTCGATAACCGGCTATCGAATATTCGATACACCGATAGCCGCGATCTTCTCATCGATCTTGCTCCATCTCTAGAATATTTGTCTTTTTATTTTACTAAAATAAAATAATCAAAGCAAAGCAGACGCGTCACACCGATTTCAAACGGAATTGTTCAGCGATCGGATAGGATTCGAAGACCAAACGACTTGTAAACCTAAAAGAACACCAATTCATAACTCAATTATTCGTAGTTCGCCGCCCAGATCGGCTCGATCGAGATTGTTTTCTTTCCTTGCTGTTTATTTTGTTTCCACCATACATGTGGGCACACATTTTGTTTGTTTGTGAAACTCTAGATGTGAGTTAATTATGAAGTGATAAAAAGGCGAGCGCGACACCATCGTAAAACCCAGAAAATCGGATGAAATACGGGAAAACTCCAGAAATCGCATAGTTAACTCCGCCAACAACAATTCGGATTCGGAATCGGAGGCGCATTGTGTGAGCGAGAGGGTGTGATTGAGTGCGGGAGAGCGAGAGCGAGAGAGGGACAGAGAGCAGGAGACGAAGGAGAGTGGGCAGAAGGAGAGGAGAGGAGGAGGAGTGGTGCACAGAATGGATGTTGAAATACCTGTTTTGGCTGGATATCTTAATGTGCCGACCCAAACTGGATTTTCGCTAAATCGCATCTCGAAAAAGGTATGAAAATTCACCTAGCCGTGTTTCCGCCCCTTCTGCAAAGTAATTTCTATATAATAAATAAATCAGATCCTAAACAGCGATTTTATTCGAATTTACCCACAAGTGCGTAGTTTTTCAATAAACCAAACAGGACTTTACGGCTGAATTTGTGTTTGTGTTTGTGTCTGCATACTTGTTGCATACAAATGAGGCCCACTGTGCGAGTGGGAGTGAGAGAGGGCATACGCGGCAGAGGGAGAGAGCGAGAGAGGGGCCGACAACATACAGTGGCGGGCAAAATAATAGCACTAAAGATGATTGAGATAATGATATATTGTTTTCTAACAGTTGTTCTATATCTATGTCTATTTGTATAAGTTTTCCCAAGATCAAATTGTTAAAACAAAATTCTTTGGTTTTTTATATTTGGATTTGCTATAACTTGTTGTTCCTTTCATTGAAAAGGATATTTTCTTCAGTTCAAATGGTTTAAAAAAACATTTTTGATTTTTTTTTAAATTTATGGTCTGAAAAACTTTGTTTCTTTTATTAATATTAACCCTTTTCAATATAAAATATATAAAATAAACTTTTATTTTTATTAAATTTTAATTTGAAAACTCTTGATGTATTTATTTAATCATCATACTTTGCATTCCTCATATTTAATACATATGATTTCATGAAACACTAGCTTATAATGGTTGCAGCATAAAGCACTTGCATTTTTTGTACGATCTTACAAATGTAAAAATTGAATATTTTTCTGGGAATATCTTGTATTATTTAAGTAACTCTATAGAGTGCTAGTAGTCTGACCGCAAACGTTGGAGTTTCAGATGGCACACACAGCTGGCGATTCATGCGACTTCATGGTATTTGTGTTTATGTGCGACAGGAAATTCTTGAGCCAGCAGAAAAGTGGGAAAAAGAGGGGGAAAAGGGGTCGCTCAGTAGGGGGAGTGGGGTGGATGAGTACTCCAGGGTTTAGCCCATTATGTAAGTCAAAATCTCTGCACTACTCATGCTTAAGTGTTAAATCTTAAGGGATTTTCATAACATCAGTGTAGGATTGTCTAAAAATACGTTGAAGAATCATATAAGCCATAGTATCATGTTTATGATTTATTTTCCCAGAAATACATGTTTATTATAAAGAACCCTAAAACTCCACTTAAGAGTTCTTAGGAACTTCCTTTTTTAGCGATGTAGCCAAACTGATCCGATCGTATACAGAAAAATTGCATAATAAGCTTAATAAATTCTCAACCCGAACCGATGTAGAAATACATAAATGTATTCAAAAGCACTATAACCTCAAGGATTTCTTTAGGATTCCATCCTTAATGAACTTACTTAAATAACCATTTTAAAGACAATCCTATATTTTGTACTATGATATACTCAAACCGATCTAATCGTATCCCAATCCTTTGCAGAAAGCATGCAGTCGCTACTGTTTGCTATTCAAGGCCAGTCGCCATGGGATCGCCCGACTGGAGATGTGCGAGAGCAAGGAGGACCGCAACCCCAAGATCTTCACCCTGGAGAACTGCGTGAAGATCACGCAGGAACCGCCGCCCGATCGCCTCATCCACATCGTCAAGCATCATGTTACCCTCACACTGAGCACCAGTAGCGAGGAGGACCTCAAGGACTGGATCACTGCCCTCCAAACGGTGGCCTTCTGCGACACCTCACCATCGGGCGGAATCGGGGCCATCGAGGAGGACAACGACCTCTACTGCAGCTCCTTTGTGAGTGATCACCTCTTTATGCGCGAAAACTTACTGGGGTGTGTCGATAATATTGAGGAAGTGCTTAATCAAAGGGGAATTTTCTTCCCCATGAGTATTTTTGGATCCTTGTTCATATCATTTTCTGCCTAATTTACACTAGTAGATTAAATTATGCAAGTATTAGAGGATTTTAAACTTGAGATTAAAACGTTTTATTTAGATTTCAGGGTTTTACAAAGTCAAATCAAGTTTAGCCACTTGAATATCTATTTTTGTTACATATCCAAAGATCTGCGAGAAAATTAGCTTTATAGAACCCACAAATTTGCTGACAAAGTTGATAAGAAAGGATTTCTCTGTTGCCAGACTAATCGTACTATCATAATTAGTCGGATTTTATTGCGAGTCACTAGAATTTGTACTTGCTAGATTACACGACGATGGTGGTGAGGGCAGCACCTGACATCTGGATCGTCGATGATGCGTAGAGTGAGCCAGTGCTTCGATCCGGCGGTCTGCAGCCAAGTGACATAGCGCACAAAGGAGTCAAAGTCGACATAGTGGGCCCGCCGGCAGTCGGCCCCATGATGATGGGGCGCCCGGCGGTCGTAGATCCAGGTGCGGGTTCCATTCCCGCATCGTCCTTGATACTTAGACTTCGATCCCTTCCTAAATAGGGCTATAGTTTACCATTGATCATCACTTAGTTATCCGAACTTACACATCATGCAAGGCCTTGAGTGTCCGCTTACGAATCATCGGAGTATTGGCCAACATACCCATAACCGGCGGACCATCCTTCACTCTTCTCACCAGAGACAGCAGGAACATGAATGGCAATAGATCAAAGCGTACGGACTGCATCACGTTTAAGGCAAAGTGCTTGCGTTGGGGCCACTTATGATTTAGCCAAATGATGGCGGCTAGATAAACCTAAGGAGGGGTTATAAAGTTATAAAAGACAGCTGCTGCAAACCTACCTCCATTTCCGAATTCACAGCCAGTGAAGACAATCCCAGTAATCTTCTCACTGTGCCCGCTCCCACAGACAGAAACTCCTTGCTGGCGATGAACTGCAGGAAGATGCTGCCCAAACGCGACAGCAGACCCTCCTCCAGACTCAGACCCATCACCCTGCTGCAGATGTACAAGCATAGGGCACCATCCGGAACCCGAGAACCGTGGTCGATGCCCCGCCAACAGTTGGCGATGAGTTCCTGGCACCCGAAGAACCGCGCTGCCCTAAAAATCTGCATCAGGAGTCCGGGGCGCATCCGATCGGACTCCTCCAGAGCCCAACGATACATGGCCACAAAGGCCCGGGCGGTGACCATCGAACTGGGCAGCTGGAAGACATGCGATCGGGCTAATTTCGGGCGACGGAAAAAGCTTGAGAGCACTTGCAGCACCATGGCATGGCAATGGAATTGATGGTCCTCGACGATCACAATTAAAGTGGGCCTTAAGTTCTTCTGGAAATATATTAGCAGCTGCTCGGCGATCGGTTCACGCTCCGGACCCAAAGAATTATGCCACCGGCCATCTAATTTCTGATCATTGGTATCCTCTGGGTCCAAATTTTCGGCCATCATATCAAATGATATTTTTGGTGTTTGCCGAAGACCTATATTCGAGTCGCTGGTCCCAATGAGATCCATCACTTCATCAAAGTTTCCCACTCGAAGGTCATGGGGTTTTCCCAGAGGAAAAGGTCTTTCGAGTGGCATATCCATCGAATTGTAAAAGAAATTATCGCTGCTTTCAGCGCTTTCGGTCAGCTCGGTGCTTTCACCGATGTTCATCAATCTGCGATCCCTTTCCCGCAGCTCCTCATAAGGTGTTTCCTCACCAGGACTCTCCTCATCCCGCGGGTTCCCAACAAGGAGGGTGTCTTCATCACCTGTTTCCTCATCTTCATTCAGATCTTCAAATATCTCAGACATGGTTCTTCTGTAAGCTTTTGGTTTTAACGTTAAATTTTGAATGGGTTCTTTTAGGTTTATAAATATCAAAAAACTTGTTTAGCTCAAAGTATAAAAGTAGTGGCTCTAAGAAGTGTATTTTCCATGTGATTGGAAAAGCAATGGAAACTTTTCTAATAAAACTACCTTGTTCAAATCGAAAAAAATATTTATTTTAATAATAACACAAAAAACAACCATAAAAACTTGAACACAAAAAACTTTATGATCTGTTAATTGGTTATATTCCTAGGAAAACCATTAAAAGTGTTAATAGATTTTTTTCGAGGTACATTTCTCAATATTTTTTGATATAAAACTTATTTTTCATGTAATAACACTAATAAATTTAAAAAATGTAT